AAACAGAATTAAGAAGATTGAATTAATATTCACTGAGACTCTGCTGAATAATATAAGATAGAAGATCTGATATAATTAAATCTTAAGAATATACAGATTATATATTCATCTTATACACTGAATTACTATTATATTAAGTATAAAGTGATAGAAGTTCTAGATAGTTATAACTACTGTCTTGATATATTATCAGAAATTTATAATGTCTTTTATACAAGCTTGCTCTGCTGCACTATCACTGATCTATTCTCTTCTCAACTGACTTCTAACTGACAGCTGTCAGACATCATAGAAGAAGATAATAAGCTTGAGTGAGAGATTGAGAATATTCTTAATAAGAGACTCTGTAACTACAGCTGATAATATCTTATGAAATGAATTAGATATAATTATCTGATCTGAACTCTGAGTTCTGTATTATCTGAAACAGTAGCTCTTAACTGATGAGAACTGCTTCTGAAAAGAGAGAGTTAATATAATAGACTGTGTCTAATCAATTATATAGACTATTCTATTACACTTCACAGATTTCAACTGCTTCATTCTTGAATATATATACTACACTCTGATTCTCAGTCATTCTCAATTGCTGATTCTCAGCTGTTATAAATGTATATAGATTCTTTCACTCTGAAGCTTCACTGCATACATCATTACATACATATATAAATATCTACTTCAATCACTGATTCTCACACTTTCTCTTTCTTTTCCTTCTCTAACATTTTTCTCTTTGTTATATAAGAGCTATTAATATCATATTAATCTATTCAGTGTAGGCCTCTTACAGTTTCAGTTTTATAAGATAATGAAAACAGTTTTAATTATTTATATATTAATACTATAGTCAGTCTGAGCCCCGGTGGCCGAATGATTAATGCAGCCACCCGGTAGTGCCTTGGCATGGGAAACCAAGGTGTGTGGATTTGAAACCCGCAGGGGATACATTAAATCCGGAACCCAAGCACCTCAGGTTTCTAATAAATACAGAGGTGTACAAATTGCTTCAATAAATCGCTCTATGTTCCTGGGCTGGGAAGTTATTATCACATGTATCTAATTGTCACTTCTTTGTATTTCCCTATGTTCTTGTTTATCTTTGGCATGGTCTCAACACCCTGTATTTTCCTTCTGTATAATCAACACTTGATCTGTATTTAACATCATGCAAGGACTCATCATTAGCTCCGCTTGCATATAAGTATAATGAAAGAATAATAATAATAATAATAATAACAGTCAGTCTGATAAGTATATAACAGTTTATTTACTTATCTTATAAAGCAGTTGAATCACTTAAAAAGAAATTCAGTCTGAGATAATACTATAGTACAGACTATTATTACTATAAGAAATAAACTGATATATTACTATAGTAAAACTGAATAATTTTTTACAGAGTACTATACTATAGCAGCTCTACTAGATTTCTCTTATTAAGTTAATATTTACACTTCTCAAGATTAAACAGAGAAGAAATGAGACTTATATATTAAATTAACTCAAGACTATTATAATACTAACTATCAAAGATTTGAATAAGCAGATATTAGAGATATAAAGATAGTGAAATATAATTCTCTAATAAGTAATAATCTTTAATAATACTCTATATTATATAGAACTATAATACTAACTTTGAAATAGAACTTATATATATTAATTATAACTGAAAATCAGATATAACTATATACTTATAAATTTAAATTTAACTGCTATCTTCAAGATATTTTAATAAATCTATACACTAAATTAATTCTAGAGTTATAAAAAATTGTTAAGAGTATATATTTAACTATTATACTGATAATATATAATATTCTGATAATTTTATTAATAGAGATAAGAATGAAGTAAAAGTTTAACTCAAGCTAAGATATTTATTATTATTATCAGAGACAATTATAAGAAGAAATAATTAAGAAACTTATAATTATAAAATATAGAATTATCAGATAGTTTAATATCTCTGATCACAGTATATCAAAGAAATATAGTTTTTATAAGAAAGTGAAGAATAAACTTATATAAGAATATATTTAGTTATTTCATGAGTGTTACTATTATTAATAATTATTATTAAATTCTGATTAGACTGACCGTGTGACCGTGTCTGAAACCAGAACCAGATTTTTTGATAGTTTTATTATCAATTCGACTGATTTCATTACATGATTTTAACATTAAATAGTAGTCTCATACTGTCTCAGTGAGACTTACTATCTACTCTTATCACATTTTTCAAATGAGACTATGATTTTCACTTCTCAATTTAAATTATTTTTATTGCTTTAAATGACTTTAAATCTTATTTGAGTGTTATCAAAAAGTGTTACTTTTTAAAAAATTAAAAATAGTCTAAAAAAAACCTTAAAATGTCTAAAAATAGTAACTTTATATCAAGAATGAGATTAAATGAGATCAAATGAGATCACTTTCTCATTTTTTTCAAGTCATGGTTTCATTTTAAGATCTGATATATAGTCACTTTATCTGTTTTTTTAATAGTCAGTCTCAGTGAGATTCATGTCAAGAAATGTATGAGATTAGATTAAATAAGATTAAATGTGAAATTCATAATCTCAGCAGTCAGTCTAATTCTGATTATATAAATAATTACTGAATAAACTGAATAAGATTAAATTTAATCTTCAGTCTCAGTCTTATTCTAATTTTGAAAGAATGATTATCTTTTACTATTTATTCTGAGAAATTACTTCTATTTCACTGTTCTTGAATTAAATCTGATTATTTTTCATATCATTTCTCTCAGAAATGATTCATTTTCAGATTTTTTTAATACTTAGTTCTGATAAGACTCATGTCAAGAAATGTATAATATCAGATTAAATAGAATTAAATGTGAAATTCATAGTCTTATCAGTCAGTCTAGTAACTACTAACTAGTTTCTTATAAATTTAAATAAGAAAAATCTTCATGAAATAGTTAACTTCATAAATATTGAATATATTCTTATAAATGATGTATATAAACTTTCATAGAGTAGTCTATCTCTCTATATATTATAGAAAAACCAACTTTTCCGAGTAAAATGCTCTGTAATATAATCTCATATAATATTATATACATCTCATTACATTTATTTAATGAAATTAAACAGTCAGCTCTGCTAACTCTACAGTCTATATAACTCTAATATTAATCTTCATTCTTTTCTTTACAGATATTCTCTACTGTATTTACGTTCTTTATACTCTTCTCTACATTCATTAATATACTCTATTTATTATAGAAAAACCAACTTTTTCATGTAAAAAACACTGTAATATAATATCATGTATATTCTATTAAAAATATTTAAATGCTCTGACTTATATAGCTCAGATCAATCTTTAAATCTTCATTCTTTTTTTTATTCTACTTCTTTTATACATTTTCTACAGTACTTACATTTCTTATACTTTTCTCTATATTAATTTTATTAAATGTTCTGTAATATAATCTCATATAGACTGACTACTGAAATTATAAATTTTATATTTAATCTTATTTAATCTAATCTTATACATTTCTTGATATGAATCTTACTGAGACTAGTTATTAAAAAAACATGTAAAGTAACTATATATCAGATCTTAAAATGAAATCATAACTTGAAAAAAATAAGAAAGTAATCTTATTTAGTTTCATTTAGTTTCATTCTTAGTATAAAGTTATTATTTTTAGACATTTTAAGATTTTTTTTAGACTATTTTTAATTTTTTAAAAAGTAACACTTTTTAATAATACTTAAATGAGATTTAAAGTCATTTAAAGTAATAAAAATAATTTAAATTGAGAAGTGAAAATCATGATCTCATTTAAAAAATGTAATAAGAGTAAATAGTAAGTCTCACTGAAACAGTATAAGATTACTATTTAATGTTAAAACTGTGTAATGAGATCAGTTAAATTGATAATAAGACTATTAAAAAATCTGATTCTGATCTCAGACACAGTCACATAATCAGTCTAATCTCATGTGATGTTATACATACTTCTTTGAATTCAGATGAGATTGAAGAGCTGACTCTGCAGCCTGTACAGCTCTGATTAATCTGATAATGATGATGAAGATGATACAGGGTGGAAGAGAGTGGTTAGAGTGATAGAGGTGATCGGAGTGATAAGAGAGAGGTAGAGAGATAGAGATAGAGAGTGAAAGTGATAGAGGGGGCTGCGGGGGCGGTAGGGGCGGTGGTGGTGGTAGAGGGAGTAGGGGGTGGAAGGGGTGAAAGGGGGTGGTAAGAGGGGTGCAGGGGGGGGTAGAGGTGGAGGGGGTGGAAGGGTTGTAGAGACAGTGGTGGGATAAAAGGGGGTAGGGGGGACTACGGG